CGCTGCTGCTTTGAGGCATTTGCTGTTGGGCATCGTACCCATTGTTTCCGTGGTAATTTCGGGTGTCCAACGCGTTGCGGTGAGGGCTCGGGGCCAAGGCGCTACCAGGCGTTGCGGCGGGGCTCCCAGGCGTTGGATAGACGCTCCGGCGCTCTCAGACAACGTTACGGTGAGGGCATTGGATAAGGCTCCGGAGGCCGCTGGAGCTCCCATCGTGGGTTGGCCCTGCGTGCCACCGCCGCCCTCATCAGATAAAGCCAAGACGCTGACACAAGGAACGGAGAGTTCGGGTTCGGAAGGGGCTCGATGTTCCTGAGGTCCTTCCATGAATATTCCTCCAGCGCTCCTCGTGCACACAAGGGCTCTTGGGGTCAAAGCTGCGCTTCGTTCCTTTTTGATCGTTTCTTGGTTTAGCAGCCCGACTGTAAGGAATCCCTCAGGGTCTGAAGAAGCCCCCATGACTGGTTCAAGAGCTTCGATGATGTCCGCACAGGAAAAGAGCTTTTGGGGGGGAGGAGGAGGGGGGAGGAGAGGGACGAAAGAAGGCCTTGAGAGAGGGAGGTAGCTCGAGGGGCAGTAGTCTGGCGAGGAGCTCGGCGAGACGGGCAGTGAGGAGTGGGAGAGGTTGTGTGTTACGGGGGGAGGGCAGCTCGATGGGCTCCTCCTCCTGCTCAGGTGTTCTCTGGTTGCCGATATTGTTCCCCCTCCCTCGAGTCAGGCTTTCTCCGCCTACCCCTGCTGCCACTGATCCTGGGCCTTCTGCTGCCCTTTCCTCCCGCTCGGGAGGAGTCCTCCTCCCGCTCCTGCTGCTGTTATCCACCTCTGGCTACTCCTTCTCCCTGACCCTAGTCTTCTCCGAGTGGCAGGGAGGAGAAGCGAGAGGGACAAGGGAGGAGCATGAGGTTGCGGAGGGAGGGGGAAAAGGGATAAACAGGAGGAATACAGGGAGGAGGGAGGAGGATTCTGAGGAGGGAGGGAAACAAGGACCAGGAGGAGGAGGAGGAGGACGAGGACGACGAGGAGTAGATGAGGCGGGAGCAGGAGGGGAAAGAGGGAGGGAGGACGACGAGGAGAAGGAGGAGGAGGGAGGAGGGAGGAGGAGGGAGCAGATAGGAAGGAGCGAGGAGGGAGGAGTGGCGCCGGAAGCACGCGCAGAAGCGCCCGCCGACCAGATCCTCGTGGCTGACCCCGCCGCCGCCCGGGCGCGCGTCGACGCCGCCGTCGAGGCCTTCGAGCGCGAGGCGGCGGGGTCCGCCCGCGCGCCCCGGGGCGCCGCGCGGCGCGGCGCCTGGGAAGGGCCCGACGATGAGGATGACGAGGATGAGGATTGGGATGAGGACGAGGATGATGATGCTGATGATGGTGATGATGATGATGATGATGATGATGATGATGATGAGGATGAGGATGAGGATGAGGATGAGGATGATGAGGATGAGGATGAGGATGAGGATGAGGATGAGGATGATGATGCTGATGATGATGATGGTTGTGCTGCTGCTGACGATGAGGATGGTGATGATCCTGTTGGTGCTGATGTTGATGATGATGTTGATGCCGATGCTGATGAGGGTGAAGAGGAGGATGGGGATCAGGATGAGGATGATGGTGTTGGTATTGTTGATGATGATGACGAGGATGCTGGTGCTCCTACTCATGAGCCTGATCAGCATGTTGATGCTGATGATGATGATGATGCTGCTGATGATGATGATGATGCTGATCATCACGATGATTATGATAATTATGGTGGTGATGATAATTACGATGCTGATGCGATGTATTATGATGATGATCATGGTGATGATGATGGTGGGGATGATGAGGATAACCTTACGATGGTGATGACGATAATGATAATGATACTGATAATGATAATGATAATGATGGTGATCATGATGACGACGCTGATGATGATGGTGATGATGATTTTGCTGCTGCTGATGACGACGCTGCTGATGATGATGTTGCTGCTGCTGCTGATGTTGATGATGGTGATGGTGGTGGCGATTATGCTGGTAATGATGATGGCGATCGTCGAAGAAGATCACAACACGGCTTAAGCAGAAGTTTTCGGAGCTCCGGGCGGATCTCTTGGATCGACGCTGGACCCCCCTGGATCGGTGCCTCCAGCGCCGCCCTTGGCGCCTCCCAAATGTCAGAGGAGGCAAAGGCGAGCACAATTTCGACACTAATCCGGCCGTGGTGAGCAGCGCTCTTGGTTTTGCCTCGTAGAGGGCAGGAGCAGGTGGGGTCTGTGGATCGCCCTCCTCCTCCTCCTCCTCCTCCTCCATGTGGGTGGCTTCCACAGAGCACACCTCGTCCTTGGATTGGGTGCCTTGCGTGGTGTGCGTCGTGCCTGGGCTCTCCACCTCGGGGTGCCGTTTGTTTTTGGGGTATCTCAGTGGAACCTTCGTACTAAGTCGGGCACGTCCCTCTACAGGAGGAATATCAAAAGTAGTTTCAAAATGGTCTGGGGACGTTTTTTTTTTTTGCATTTCTTGCTCATTTCGGAGCATGTGTCTTGGTATTTATTAGATTTCGTTCAAAATCCGCCTGTAGGGGGACATGCCGTCCCTGAGCTTAGTAGACCCTTGGGCGCAGGGGCTCGCGCTTTTGTGGCCATGCTAAGGAGACACTTCTGGCTGAGACAGTCTTGCTGTAGTCATTCGGCGTCACGTCCTAAGAACCTTGTTGTTTGCCCTCGGAACAGCCTGGCGTTCGAAGAACCCTTCCGTGGTCGGCGAGTAGACCCACCAGAAATCTGAAGAGAACGCATCAACGCTGATGACCCCAGATTTCGCCCAATAAACTCAAGGATCAGGGCAGGACCCTGGGCGTTTCCGTCGAGCTCCCCTTTGCGTGGAATTTTCTCGCAGATCTGGACCTGGCTCTGAACTCTGAGCAGGGGTGCAGAGTTGCCGGGGCGGTCGGTCCCTGCTCAGTCTCCGTGGCAAGGAGAGGCCCCCACCGTTCCTCAGCCGGCGCTCCTCGTCGGTGCACGGCGGCCGCGAGAAGGGGCAGCACTCTGGCCTGCGCCTTCTAAGAAGCAGCTTCCTTCTAAGAAGCCTTCCCCTTTTCCCCCTGCCCCCTCTTGCGCGCCGCCAGAAGAGGTCATGACAAAATGATACGTTCGGCGGCGACATCCGGCATCAAGGATTCAGAGGGCTCAATGGGCGGTTGGGGTAGGGTTGGGACTCCGTCGAGCACGTGGCGAAGTCTGAAGCCTACCCCTGCCTCCCATCATCCAAGAATATCGATGGATGGTGGGGGTAGAATTCGGATGCCGCCACCTACACATTTTAATACATTTCAGATGTCCTGTTGGTTCGCACGGGCTCCAGAAACCAAGCGCAAGTTTCTTTCGACGACGTGGCGGCAAAGCCAGATCCCCGATTTCAATGTTCGCGTCGAGACTGGCGACTCCTATTTTTCTGTGTCACCGCGGGCCTCGTTGCACGCGTTGCTAACCATTGAAAGTGGTGGGGCGAGGGGGGATTAGAGAACAACGTGCGTTTGATTTCGCGGAGGATTTTAGCGTAGGCTTCCCAGATGGGGTCCGAGCAGATGGGGTCGGAGGATCGCGCCGCATCGCCGATGCGGCTGTGGAGCCCGATTTTCTCAAAGGCGACGGTGCCGATGCATCGCCCGCGTCGCCGATGCATCGGCGATGCGGCGCGGTCCTCCGACCCCATCTGCGGGAAGCGTCTACGTGAGGCATTCCAGAAAGGGCCTCGCCGTCGAGGATCAAATGAGTTGTGATCTCTTCCTCGGTGGAAGGGCGACGGAAGGTGGCGGACGGTCACACCTGGCCGCGCGGAAGCTGGCGGAAGCTGGCAAAGCAAACATCTGTCTGCCTCCCACGAGGTGGCGATCGTTCTCTTATTCGTTGTTCTGTCGGTCGGCGCGGGCCCTCGCACTCCCCCCCCCCGTGGAGCAAATCCTGGCGGTTTTTGGCGCCTGTTTCGAGCAGGTGGACTCTGCCCCATCCATAGGACGCGATGTTGCAGACAGTCGCATTGAGCAGGTTTAAGTGAGAAGGTGCCTGGTAGAAACCAAACAGTGGGCGCCCGACGCGCGACGAGCACAAGCACTGTTCGGGCTCAAACAAAAACACTAGCAGCGGACAAGCACGCGCGCACTTTTGGCAGCCGCAGGCGCGTGCCGTCCTTACCACGTTCAGGCTAGGCCTCAGCAGAGGCCCAGCTGTGCCGCCAGACTGGCGGCTCCTCGGCCCGAACCGCTAGGCGGTCAAGGCCGAAAAAGGAAAAGGACCTACGAAGGGCCAGGGAGGGCCTGGGAGGGAAGGGCCCGAGAAGGAACTTGAGCCCCAGAGGGGCCGCGGAGAGGGGGAAAGGGACAGAGGCAAGAGAGACCCTTCCCCCTCACCAGGCACTTACTCCCTGAAACCCTACGTTTTACGCACGCTCAAACTCTCACGTTTAAGTGAGAAGGTGCCTGGTAGAAACCAAACAGTGGGCGCCCGACCCGCGACGAGCACAAGCACTGTTCGGGCTCAAACAAAAACACTAGCAGCGGACAAGCACGCGCGCACTTTTGGCAGCCGCAGGCGCGTGCCGTCCTTACCACGTTCAGGCTAGGCCTCAGCAGAGGCCCAGCTGTGCCGCCAGACTGGCGGCTCCTCGGCCACCCAGCTTCTCTCGCCCCCTCGGCGCCCGTGACTTGCGGGTGGTGCCGAACGGGGCTCACAGCTGGGCGCCTCACTGCACAGCGCGTGCCGGACTGGCGGAGCACCAGCCGGCCTCCTCACCTTCTCCTCGGGGACCGCACTGGCGGGACGCCCAAGCCACCTCCACCTCTCCTCGGGGACCGCACTGGCGGGACGCCCCGGCCCTCGGCCTCCTCACCTCCGCACGCCCCCTCGGCGCCCGTGACTTGCGGGTGGTGCCGACGGGGGCTCGCGGCCCTCCTCCACCTCACCTCATCCGTCGATCCTGGGGGTCACCACTGCCCCCAGGCCGCTGCCCCAGGACTGCGCACAATCCAGCAACGGCCCCTCCAGTGGTGACACGCCTTGGTCAAAACTCGCACTCCTGCTACTGTCCTCAGGCCCCCGGCTTCTCCTTCACATCAGCAGCCGGTCCATCTCCCGCCACTTCAACCTTGTACCCCACGTGCAGGGTTGCAACAGACTTCGCCATCGCCTCTGACACTCCAGCGGCGTCCTCATTCGCCTCCCACAAATACTGGTGAACGGCTCCGCTGTTCCACCGCCCCCAACGCTTGACCAGCTCCGTGTCCTGGAAGCAGTGGTACAGGGCCGTCGCTCCGCCGATTCGGAGCGAATGGCTCTTGAACCTGTCGGGTGGATAGCCTTCCAGCGCCGCCGCCTTCTGAAGCAAGCCCTGGATACGCTCCCGCGTGATCGGGCTGCCATATTCCCACCTCGCAAGTGGTAAGTGTGCCTCTTTGCCCGTGATGCGGCTCGGGAACCAGCGGTTGTAGCACTCCGCCGCCCACACTGGGCAGATGCCGAACGGGTCGTTCGAGCGGTAGTGGTTCCTCGCCTGCCCTGCTCCCTTCTGGTCCGCCTTCGACGCCTTAAACCACAGCACCACCTCGTCCGCGGCGGCGAAGTGGCTTACCTGCTCGCCCTTGCACTTCGGGGCAATGTCCAGCCCGGTCAAGACCTTCTTCAAATCCCAGTGCCCCGAGTGGGCGTACTCCCCGATCCGCATCATGAAGAAGAAAGCGAAGATCACGCAGAAGTACAAGGCCGCGTCGTCCGCAGAAGTGTCCGGCTTCGGCATGTCTCGGATCCTCCTCAGCATCTTGGTCGTAACCGGGAGCTTCCTCTTTCTGGGCCCTTGCCAGTTCTCTATCCCATTTAAAGCCATCCACAGTCGCGGCTTACCCGCCAAGGGGTCGGGCTCACCCAGCATCACGTGGTGTGACCGGATCTCCAGCAACTTTGACCGTATAGTACCGTGCGACCGCTTCAGGCTGTTGTACAGATGCACCATGAACAGCAGCAGCTCCTCCTCATCTTGGTGACGCTCTTCGCGAGTCTCACCATGCAGGATGGGCGACCTCCTGCGGATCCGGCAGAACGTCGTCCACTGCCTCCAAGCGACGCCGTAGGTCGCCTTCGTCCCCTTTGCCACCGAAGCCACCACGGCTGCGTCTACCAACCTCTGGAGCTCTGGCGCGTACCCTGCATCGGCACGCCCGCCGGCACGCCTGGAGTCCTCCCTGGCGATCCGCCTGAGCTGCCGCTCTA